TCTATAAGAGAAAATAGTACCACTATATAAAGAGTGGTTAAGGTCAAAATCGATCTCCTTGTTGGTAAGTACAATCAAACTTTCCTTTTCATAAGAGATATTCTTTAGTATTGTATCTCTGTTATGAGGACACTCATTTGTTTTTGCTCTCTGTTCTTCTCATAATGGACTATCTTTAGCTCTTTTCGAGCTTCTTTGATGCTTAATGGACCACTAGTTTCCTTTTTGGCCTTCTCTCTTTCTTCTGTTTTCCTTAAGTATTCATGAAATGATTGTTTAATTTGACATGATCTTCATATGTTTTTTTGGTGATAAAAGCGTAAGGACATGATTCAGACTGTTTTTTCGCAATAAATATCGATTGGTGCGACCGTTTTGTTATACTTGTATATCAAATTGCTAAAGTCTCCCAAATATCAGGTGACTGACATGCATAGGTACAATATCATAACATACCTTGTCGCAATATTCTCCTATGGAGAAAAACACTATGACTTACCTGGTAACTTGGGTTTCACCACACTCATTCAACCACTATAACCGGTAAGGAGTCGAATGCTTGATGTACGTCAACCATGCTCTTTTCATTAATAGAGTGTTTGCCTCGTTAACACAACTACCATTGTCAATGATTATTCCACATACCTTACCATTGATAAGGCATCGCGTGCGGAAAATATTCCCCCTCTGCTCGTTGTCTTCACTCCTAACTTGCACGTTAAGAGCTCTTCGAATAATAAGGACATTACTCCCAAGTGGAACATTTTCAATAGATTTTGACATAGTATAGTACCTGCAAGGTTAGTGAAAAAAATACATTCTCTCCCTCACCTTCCCTTGTGTTTACCTGAAAATCTCTCAATTGATAGCTTTGTCTATTGAGTTGAGCATTTGAAATCAGAATTGCTTGAATTGGGTATGTGTGTTAGTCCATATGACACAATAAGGAACACTAAAGAATTCTAATTTCTATTGAAGCTCAGAATTAAGCACACAGAGGAAGGAATAATATACTACCTGTGATTATTCTTCTTGTGTGTTAAGTAAATAAAATCGATTAGTCACTTAATTATAATATTTTTTTGTAATAGAACAAAAGTAAAATGAATGATAAAAACAGATTACAAAGAATGACTATTCGAACTGATGCATAGGGATCCGATCAATCTCGATGGATAAAATCGACAGGTGTATCTACTTATACTGCTCCTAATTTTTTGGCTACACTATACGACAAGTCAAGTTTCTTTTTGCAATATTGATGCAAGATTATACAAATGTAATTCGAAAATTAAACATGGATAATGTGCAGAATGAAAATAAAAATTTTCGCTCGCACCCATTAGGTGAGGTACTTTGCCTTCGATTTCTCAAAGAATTTGCTGTCACCAATCAGGCGACTATTATGCTTTTATCATACAAGATGTTAATAACGTGCTAATTGCCTTATGAGGTGCGATTGGAATATTTTTATATTTTTTATATATAAATTTTTTTTTAAATAATAAACATGAATCACTTGAATTGAACGGATAGATATGAATTCAAATAAGATGCAAGATGAATAACAATTAAATAAATTTGAATGCTAATTAAAGAACAAAAATGCTGAAAGCAATAAAGATAAATTTGGCTCTAAGAGCCTCTGACACCAAATGATGCTGGAGGATATTGGGAGGATTGAATTAACACTTATAACCCACTCAATGTTATGCAATGCTAAAATTTTAAGTATCTAGATAACCCCCCTTCCTTTCCCTAATTGAATCTACAATGCAAAAAAGAATGCAAAAAAGAATGCAAAAAACAAAGATTAAACGAAATAAACAAAGAAAAACGCAATGGATTTACCGATAAGTTGATCCCTACTCATTGACTCGACAAAACTTCTGAAGACTCCCACTCCTTAAAAAACTTGAAGAACCTAAATTAGCAAAAACGTTAATAGAAGAAAAGCCTAAATTTTCAAGAATTTCTCTAAATTGATTGTAATTGGTATGTTTACAACCTATAGGTAAATACCTATTTATAACTTTTTCTCGAATAATCTTGATGAGTACAAACTCTTGCATAAAATAATAAAATAATATCTTAGATAAAATTCTATCTAATTTTAAGATTATTACATATAAAATATTTATTTTATTCTATCTAAATGCAAAAAAATTAAATAAATAATCTTAAGAATAGAACTTATATTAAAATAAGATAAAACTTATCCTTCGTGATTTCTATGTAAAAAATATGAGGAAATTAATTTAGCCATGTGGGATTTTAATTTAATACATGGGTAATCAAAAAGTGAGTCCCAAAGCCTTTTTAAAAATAAAATTTAAAAAAGTATTAATTAATTAAAATGGGGAGGCTCGGTTCTTGGGGCAACCCGATGGGGTTGGGTCGATAGGCCCACTAAGGTCACGTGAGGGTTGCGAGCCTGCACGATTGGCCCCTTGGGC